CACGTATTGAATGGAGCACTGGGTGTTATATGCAAACAATGAATCATGGAACACTACATCAAAAACTAATGATGTAATGTATGGTGATTAACACAACATAAAAAAAGAAAGAATAGCTCTCTCCTATCAGAAGCATGAAAAAGAAAGAAAAGGTGAATTACGATTTTCAGCCAATGATAGTGGCTGGTGAACTCTATATGGAAGAGAAAAGGAGATAAATAAGAGTTGTGAAAGCTGAAGAACGTAAACATAGCTAAACTGGTATCTTCCAGAGCCCTTAAAAAAAGATTGTTTTGTTAATACACAAATGAAATGCTAACATTAAAATGTAAGAGAAAATAAAGCATAAAGAAGCTAGAAAAATATTACTGACTGTTTGAGAGGAGCCCTGTCACAAAGCTGGTAATCTAGCAACTCAAAAAGTTGTGGACCAACATCTTTCCCCTAAAAATGTCTGGACTGCAAGAAAACAGATGTCAGAGTACAGATAGGAAACAGGCAATAGGCAGGGGAAGGAGGGAGAACGTAGGCAGGGGAACAAGAGCCTGTTAAGTTGTTCATCCTCAAACCATTAGGAGGAAGGCTAGGAAGCCTCCACCCCATGAGCACTGGGATAGCAAGGAAATTATTTCTTGTTATTTGGTGACTTTTACATTTGACTTTACTTTTCAAGATTATATAGAGCCTATTATTGGAGCAAGTCAGCTTTTATGTATATACCAGTATGTTTTAATTCTGTGTTTATCTGCCAGTTATTTTTTGTATTTGAAAATTTAATGTACCATACTTGCGCCCAAGTCATTTTATGCAAAGGGTAAAATTTGTTAAAAAATTGCAAAAATAAACACATATCTTCTTCAACGTCAGTATAACTCAAACCATCATGCTTAGCTGCTTAGTCTCCCCAAATAGGCATACTAGGGTGTCCCTTAAAGCACCCTTGCTTTTATTTTATTTTTTTATTTAGTATTTTTAAAAGATTTTATTTATTAATTTGACACAGAGAGAGAGAGAGTGAGCACAAGCAGGGGAAGCAGCAGGCAGAGGGACAGGGAGAAGCAGACTCCTTGCCGAGCCGGGAGCCCAATGCGGGACTCCATCCCAGGACCCTGGGATCATGACCTGAGCCAAAGGGAGACACTTATCCGACTAAGCCACCCAGGCGCCCCATAAAGCTTTTTAAAAGGCATTTTAAAAACCAAGAAACAGACTCTTAACTATAGAGAACAAACTGATGGTTACCAGGGGGGAGGCGGGTGGAGGATGGGGGAAATAGGTGGTGGGGGTTAAGGAGTGCACTTGTTGTGATGAGCACCGGGAGACATATGGAAGAGCTGAATCACTATAGTGTACACCTGAAACTAGTATTACGGTGTATGTTAACAAACTGGAATTTAAATAAAAACTAAACTAAACTAAAAGGCAGTTTAAGAGCACAGAAAGGAGCTCCCACTAGAGGGCGCTCCAACCATTTTAGTATGGGGCCATAAGCTAAAGCTTCACTATAGAGACGTACAGTTACACTCACAGAAATTTTTTCCAAATGAGGAAAGATAGGGACAGGTGCCCATGCTATATGACTTCATAAGCAGTTTCCTGTAGTTACCTAAAATGCAGACTTGTGCTTCATGTCTTTTTCCCCCTTTTGCCTTTTGTAGAAATATCTTTTCCCTAGAGATAAAATCAACAGGGTCCATCTCAATAAAAGAACACGCAGTGTGGCGGCCATGCTGCTCCACCCACCGACATAAATGTCCGCCCTATGTCAGTGACTTACAGTCTTAAGGAAAAAAACACCCTGGCTGTTACTCTATTATTATGCCGTTAACTGCAGGTAAATCAAGCTCGTTAGCAGTTGTCCTTTGCTATAGTCAGCCTCAGGCTCACAAACGTAGGGGCCTAGAATACTCAAAATAACTTAAAATATAAGTAGTTACAGTTCTTCTCTCTGGCTCTAATCTCTTCTAGAACAGACTACTTTCTTTTTTTCAATCCCCCAGCTTGTTCAAAGTTTTCTCCTAAACAATTGTTAAGAATTCTAACTCACTTCTTGCTGCTTTCACGGATGGTTAGATGACCAACAATGCTGATCTCAATGGCTAAAGACACCTCTGACAAGAGCTGTGCAGTATCTCTTATCTTTCCTCCTCCGGTTCATACTGAAGCTAAGGCCTTTCCACAGCCTGACACTTACCGGGGTGAAAGAAGCTAGCTGAATGAAAGAACACATACACAGTTCAAGTTCTTGAATTCCGCTACTGTTACACACTGATTTAAAATAATAATTAATAATAGATAATTGGACCACCCAGCTGAAGTCCTGACTTTATGGGTGGGAAAAGGAGAGGGAATCCAAGCTGACTTCTCTATGGTTCAGGCCCTAGGCTCTATTTTCTTCCTGTAGGTTCTAGGCTGCCAGAAATACCAGTGATAAATACCCTAAGGGCAAATGCCAATTCTTTTGCTGGTTCATCCCTGTTAATTAGTGTTTATACTATTTCTAGCCTCTAAAGAATTCCCTTACTTTTATGACTGCTTATTCACACACACATTTTTTTTTTTTAAAAGGCATTTCTTAAGATTTTAACCAGCAGTTTTCTACTTGCTATAGGAGAGGTGGGATGGTGATCACAGCACTGACTTTGAAGTGTCACCTAGATGGTGTAAGAAGAATGATTCTCCTAGGGTCCTTTCGGTTCTTGGTATTCAGACAACTTAGAACTATTCCTTGTAACAAAATCACTAAAATTTACCTGGAAAATGTGAAGCATTTTAACTTTTAGCTTTGGTGTGTTTCTTTAAAATAAGTTCATTAACTGGTAAAAGTTCTACATACTCTAATCACTGTAGTTCTAATATAATGCAGGAAGAATTTGGTGAACTCAACTTGCTGCTAGATTTTTTTTTCTTGCTGCTAGATTTTTAAAAATAAGAATAAATTTATTAATCAACAACTATGTTCTCAAGCATTATACTACTAAGGGCTTTTAGGTGGCATGAAGGGATTAGAAGGAATCTGTATGCTTAATTCTGCTATTATATGTTGATTTTAAATGATAAAAGGTGAACAGCATTTCCCAACAGTTTACCAGGAAGGGTATTTAGCCCAAAAAAAGGTGAGGAGAACATATGTAAAAAAAAGGCTGGTCAGTTGAAAGAGGTAGGAGAAGCAAGCTGTGACATTCTCTTAAAATGTATAAATATATCAAGAAATAACTCATAAAGAAGAAAGGGAGAAGAAAGAAGAAATTCAAAAAAACTCATCAGAGGTGAAACAGGTAAATAGGATTAAGAGTACACTTATGGGGGCGCCCGGGTGGCTCAGTCAATTAAGCAGTTAAGCCTCTGCCTTCGGCTCAGGTCATGATCCTGGGGTCCTGGGATGGAGCCCTGAGTCAGTTCCCTGCTCATCTGAAAGTCTGTTTTTCCCTCTCCCTCTGCCCTATGCCCCCCATCCACCCCCCCCGCCCCGCCGCTCATGCTCTCACTCTCAGAATAAATAAAAATCTTAAAAAAAAAAAAAGAGTACACTTAGGATGAGCACTGAATAATGTACAGAATTGTTGAACTACTATATTGTACACATGAAACTAATATAACATTGTAGGTTAATTATACTGGAATTTAAAAAAAGGGGGGTATGTCAGGATGTACATATTTCTTTGTTTCTTAACTGGAGCTTTCAAAGAATGATGATTAAAATCTACTAGAATTCAGTTATTTTTAATAAATCAACTAGATATAATTTTAATGTGGCTCATGAGGATGGAAGCTGTATTTCTCAGATGACACATGTGGTCTGCTTCCCTTAAAGGAGAGTCTTTACTTTTATGTCACTGTTACCAGAGTCAAATCCTAAGACCCAAATTTAACAAGCAAAACTAAGAAACTATTGAACAGTTACTAGAAAGGTATCTTTGAAGATCTCTTTTACTGATTAAAAACTTGTAAGGTAAAGACTATGGAAAAAATTCGTGTGTGGTCATGAATAGTTGCGAATCACTGAATTTTACTTGTTGAAATAAAGGGTAAAGGAAAATTAATAAATGAGTAAAATAAATGACCTTTATAAAGCACGTTGTGAGAACCAGAAAATTCTTTGCCTAGCCCTTGCTCGTATACTTACTTTCTCCACATGGCAATGAATGACGGTGCTGACACCAGTCCTGTCCTCTCTCCCCCGGCAGCCCTGAACATGGGGGCTTTCCAATAGAGAGGACAGCCACAGAGCTGCAAATAAAACACAAATACAGTGTAAGCCAAGGGGTGGTGAAAAGATGACAGAGCCGAACAATGGGCCTTTGTGGCTCTTACCCTTCGTGCCACAGTGGACAGAGGGTCCTGGAAGGAGCAAAACTGAGGCAGAGGCAAATATACAAGCTATGGGAGATTCAGAGAGAGACACAGGGGAAACAGGAGGATTACATGTTTAATGAAGGAAAGGGAAATCCATTTACCTTTTCTCCAAGTTCATTTAGAGTGATGTGTCTTTCCCTTTCCTGATAGTTAAAGCAACCAGTCTCCCTTCCTACCACTCTCACATCATATATTTTCTGCCTTCTAAAAAGAATGACTGAATGTCTTGGTCGTATATGCCCTTCCTTCCTACTGCATAAAAATACAGCCACATTTATTACTTGGTCACTTGGTGTTAATACACTCTCCCACCCATCTCCCTTTCTCTTCTTTGCCTATTATGTTATTAAGCCCCAGGGTCAGGAAGAACCAGAAAAGCCTAGATTGTTCAAGAAAATAGCTATCTACTTAAATGGTTAAAACAGGTATAAGATTAAAGATAAAAATCAAAATGCTATCATTTATTTATATATTAGAAACTACCACAAATGGCTACATATTATAAAAGCCTTAGGAGGAACTGGGAATGAATATACAACTACAATACTCTAAAAGGTGTTTTTTTCCTTCAATAAAAAGCACTTTCAGTTAATTATACTCTCACAAGAAAGAGTTCCTAGCAAATTTACCTGCTTTTTTCCTAGAGGGAAAATTCTTTTGAGTGATAATAGTTATCTAAATAATAGTAGAGAAATAGTCTCCAAATGTTCCCAATTTTGTACATGCATGTAAAACATATTCCCAAATTTGAAATCCTTCGAAGGAGTCGTATCTTGCTTTAAAGTAGGTAGTCTTATTATTCGTATTAGACACAGGATCTGCTGAGCCTTCATCATGCTACAGAGGGAAGCTTTTCCTTTGGAGGCTGACTAGAAGTGAATCTATATTAGGTTCTGGTGAAGCTGCTCCTGGTGTGAGGCCTCAGTGCATGGGGAATCTCCACAGAAGCGTGAGGAGTACCTGGTCTGAGGTTATGAGTCTGAGTTATGCTGAGAGAACACCCAAAGGTGTTCTGGATTCAGATTCTGAGATGAGGATCTGGAAGGTGAGATCCCAGCCAAGGGAGGTAAGTACAGGGCAGAAATAATAGCTACTCCTGCCGGGGCCCTAAAGCATGTTCTGCAAACAGGGTGGAGCTTAAGATTTCTCAAGTCCAGAGGTCAAATACCACCACTGAGGTCAAGAATGAGGGAAAGGTGTTGCTTAGCAACCAAATGGACTTTGTTTATTGTGTAAATTATGATTGCCAAAGTACAAAGCTCACAATTAATATATTTTGGGTGGTAAACTGTCAAATCCACTTTCCAATCCCAATCCTCCCTTTCATGTAGAATGGTAGTTTGCCAAGAAAATGCTCTTCGATGTGACAGGCAACTGGCAACTGCTAGGAAAGCTTGAAAGAATAGTCTGTATTGTAGAGGTGGGAGTACAGAGCCCCAAACAGAGAAAGTAAGTACAGGGAGAGATTGGAACTGGCTTGCCAAAGTGCTTGAAACTCCCACCATTATAGTCACTCATGGATTTTTCAGAATTGGAAGGACTCAGGAATCTTCTAGCTCAACCTGGGGAAGTGGTCACCAGCCTTAGCTGAAACACTACCAGGGACTGCAGGCTTACCACATCCGTGGGGCTACGTCCACTATTAAACAACTTTCATTCCCTTGGATTATAGTCTTTTCTCTAGAAGACTCCTGTTAAAATGCATACATATCAGATCCTAAGGAGTAGTAAGTTGGTAAGAGACTGACACATACATTTATTATGACTCAAAGGCAAAATCCTAAGAGATAAGGTATAGAATGGATAGGTTTTAAAATAGATTGGGGGGGCGCCTCAGTGGGCACAGTCAGTTGAGCATCCAACTCTTGCTTTCGGCTCAGGTCATGATCTCAGGGCAATGAGATCGAGCCCTGCATCAGGCTCTGGGCTCAATGTGGAGTCTGCTTAAGACTGTCTCTTTCTCTCCCTCTGCCCCTCCCCGCCTACTCTCTCTCTCAAAAAATAAATAAATCTTTAAAAAAATAAAATAGATAGGAAAGGGCTGGCCTATTTTTCTCATAGTGGGGTACCCTAAATAGCCACATGTTAGGCAGCATGAGGGTATTAGCCCTTGGAGAAAATGCCAAAGGAAAAAAATGCAATGCAGATATTACATTTTGGCTATTTAAAAAAATGTATGGCTGGCTGTATCTGCTTGAAACCAAAGAATTAAGATAAAGGGTGTCAGGAGATCAATAAGAACCTAAAAAAGTAAATGATATTAAGCTGAGGGCAACAGAACAGAGACTTCAATAACAGAGGAGAGAACAAGCCAGTGTCAAGACTTTTTACAAAGGAAAAGAATGGACGACAAGTGGTGATATGGAGGGAGATACAGAAAATGGGTTTAGGAAACTCAGAGGGGGAGGCAAAAGTCAGTCTATGGTATTCAAAGTTGCTGGAGCAAGGACAATCTAACACCTATAATTTGACCTAAGGATGGCCCAACAACATAAAGAATTGAAAGCAAGGTTATCTAATGAGTCACACAGGAGGAGGAGATGATTATCCAATATCTGCAATGTTCTTTAACATTTTAAAATGTCTTATGCCTGTTATTTCATTTGATCATCACGTGATCCCCATGCAGAAGAGGGCAGGTATTTTCAGGCCATTCTACAGATGAAGAAATAAAGGTACAGAGAAGCTGCCTTACAGGACACAGGCATGATAGGTCAAGGCAGTGCCACCTCAGCCAGAAGAGAGAAGCGGACGGTCTCTGTACAGTTCAGAAGAGACTTTCTCTCTTCTTCCTCAATTTTCTGCTAGAGGCTAAAACTCTGTGGTGAGTCTTCTGGCTCTGAAGACAAATGCTTTTCTTACTGTTCCTCAGTGTATGTTCCTCCACTGCTTTTCTCTCTCTTAGATTCATTCTCTATATTAATTTCTTTGCCATCATCACTTAAAGCTGTGGGAAAAAGTACACACTACACACTGAGAATTTAATCAGATATGGGTATTAATCTCTCCAGGGCTGTTTGAGGTCAAAGAAGAATGAGCTAAACTTCAGCAACAGATGCAGATTTCATAAACACAGTGTTTTCTCTGCACTTCAAAAAACAGATCCCAGTCTCTACAGCTACACAAGCTGGCCTTCCCAACAGCTTTATAGACTACAAGAATTCAGAGAAGTGTTCATTTATTGCTCCAACTACCTCTCCCTTCATTGTCCCTTAAAGGCTGTCTTTCTTCTTCTTTACCTACAACCAATTTGTCATGAGAAAACAGACACATGCAGTGCAGATGCTACAGGCACAAAGTTTACTCTGTGGCAGAGAAGACCGATGTGCATAGTAAAAAATATCTGAAAATAGGGTTGCTTAGTGAGTGTTAATAGACAGCCATAGCCAAGTAAAAGCTGGGTTAAATGGGGATTAGCTAAATGTCAGAAATGACGACATAAATCTGTCGAATGCTAGAGGACCACTGAACCATGGAGCAGGGCAGGGCTACCATGAGATAGGGGCAGAAGGGCCACAGCAGGAGGGTGGATATAAGGCTGTGGAAAGACAGAAGAGAATAGGATCCTTAGTTAGAAGCTGGGAAAATTCAGAGGAGGAAGGTTGACCTATAGGACTTGTATTCCAGACAGAACAAGCTGTAGGTCTCTGACAGGTACAAATCGCTTGGATTGGCTCTCCAGATGTGGTGTGCCCAGCACAGCACCAGGAACTATTATGTCTCTTAATCTGGACAGTTTCTCCTTGTCTGCCTGCCTGAAGCAGTCCATGAAACTGCCTGTTTCTCTCACACAGACTGTTGGCATGTTAGAAATAACCCTGTTTGGCATTTATGCAGTTGACATGTTATCTCTAAATGCAAATTTCATTCAGCCTTACTAATTCTGTCTCTTGGATTTAGATTCATAGTTCCAGCCCATTCAGATAATTTACCATCTTGGCTCATACAGTTGCCATCTCTCAAAGCTTTGGGTGAGAAAATGCCAATGCCCTGAAAGAACCTGTAATTTATTTAGGTGGATACTGATTGGAAGTTAGCTAATAGTATGTTAGCATATGTTCAGGGGAGATAACATATGGTATAAACAGCACAATGCCAGGAGTTAGAGGACCAGTCTCCTGACATGTACTAGTTCTCTGACTTCAGGTTAAGTACTCACAGAACTTCAGTTTCCTTACGTCTAAAACAGAGAGGAAATAGGTGAGCTCTTATTTCTGCAATGAGAGTTTACTTTTCATTAGAAATATCTAAGGGATCAACAAGCAAGTTCTAAGATGGGGGGAGGGGTGAAGAAGGTGGGAATAAAAAAAGAACTCCTTTTCGTTTCTCCTAAAATCTAATTTACAAATGAACTATTGGGACTTCATCAAGATAAAAAGTTTTGCACAGCGAAGGAAACAGTTGACAAAACCAGAAGAAACCAACAGAATGGGAGAAGATATTTGCAAATGACATATCAGATAAAGGGCTAGTATTCAAAATCTATAAAGAATTTACCAAACTCAACACCCAAAGAACAAATAATCCAATCAAGAAATGGGCAGAAGACATGAACAGACATTGCTCCAAAGAAGATCCAAATGGCCAACAGACAATGAAAAAATGCTCAGCATCACTCGGCATCAGGGAAATGCAAATCAAAACCACAAGGAGATACCACCTCAAACCAGTCAGAATGGCTAAAATTAACAAATCAGGAAACGAGAGATGTTGGTGAGGATGTGGAGAAAGGGGAACCCTCCTACACTGTTGGTGGGAATGCAAACTGGTACAGCCACTCTGGAAAACAGAGGGGAGGTTCCTCAAAAAGTTGAAAACAGAGCTACCCTACGACCCAACAATTGCACTACTGGGTTATTTACCCCAAAGATACAAATGTAGTGATCTGAAGGGGCACCTACTCCCCAATGTTTATAGCAGCAATGTCCACAGTAGCCAAACTATGGGAAGAGCCCATCGACAGATGAATGGATAAAGAAGATGTGGCATATATATACAATGGAATACTACTGAGCCATCAAAAAAATGAAATCTTGCCATTTGCAACGATGTGGATGGAACTAGAGGGTATTATGCTATGTGAAATAAGTCAATCAGAGGAAGACAATTATCACGATTTCACTTATATATGTAATTTAAAAACAAAACAGGATCATAGGGGAAGAGAGGAAAAAAAAGATGAAATCAGAGGGAGACAAACCATAAGAGACTCTTAATCATAGGAAACAAACTGAGGGTTGCTGGGGGGAGAGGGGTGAGGGATGGGGTAACTGGGGGATGGACATGAAGGAGGGCACATGATGTAATGAGCACTGGGTATTATATAAGACTGATGAATTACTGACCTCTACCTCAGAAACCAATAATATATGTTCATTAATGGAATTTAAATTAAAACAAAGAGAAAACAAAAGAAAATAGTGAATTATTATTCATTTTCATAGTGAATAAGAAGTAAAGAATCTATCTGCTTTACTTTTTCTAACTGTGGTATTTTGCTTAACACAATGCGCTCAATAATTTGATTAAAGAGAAGAATGTAAAACAAAAAACCCAAAAACCCCCCGCAGCAACAAATGTTCTGAATGCAGGTAGAGGAGCAGGCAGGGCATGACTGGGACTTCTCCCAGGACAAGATGGAAGGGAAGTCTTAAAGGATGGGTGAAGTGGGGGTTGGCAGGAATGGAAGCTCATTTTGGAGGGAAGAACTGGGAGAGCCCAAATGCAGAGGCAATCCTGTGGGAGGGCAAATTAGGCAGGGAACAGTAGTTTGGGTTTTATCCTCAAGATCAGTAGTGTCCAAACTTTAAAATATTATTCCTGAGGGACATCTGGGTGGCTCAGTCGGTTAAGCGTCTGCCTTCGGCTCAGGTCATGATCCCAGGGTCCTGGGAACGAGTCCCACATCAGGCTCCTTGCTCAGCGGGGAGCCTGCTTCTCCCTCTGCCTGCTCTACCTGCCGCGCCCTCTGCTTGTGCTCTCTCTCTCTGACAAATAAATAAAATCTTTAAAAAAAAAAAATATAATTCCTGAAAGCAGGGGAACTGTGAAAGTGCGCACGGGGTCTCAGGAGCTTCCACTTGGTCTCCTACTTGCCCACATGCAACCCTTAGTCTACTAAACCCCTCTGCCTCTTGAAGCACAGCCTGAACCACTGCTAAATCTCGAGATATGATCTGACTCTTCAATTTACACGCATGATAAAAATAAAACCCAAACAAAACAAAGCAAAGTGCTGCTATAGGTGGTGAGCTGGGGAATATTGCTGAGCTGGGGAATGGCATGATCAAATATAATCTGATGCTCATGCTCAGTATTAATTGTTCTAGGAGGAGACTGGAGATGTAGCATCCAGTTACTGAAGATGTTCAGTAGTCCTGGCATGAAAGGCTAAGATCCTAAATTAGAAGCAGTTGAGTATATTGGAAAGTACCAAAGACTTGGTTCCTAGCGGCAAATCCATTTATTTCTGAGTAGAATTAGTGTTGAGCTGGCCCAATGGTTCCTTGTCTGGCTTCAGGGCAGAGTTATGATCAATGGGTGAGAACAAAAAAAGACATTCATATTCAATACAAGGGAAATTTTTCTAACAAGTGAGACTATTTCATTTTTTTAAGACTTTATTTATTTGTCAGAGAGAGCGTGCACAAGCAGAGGGTGCAGCAGAGGGAGAGGGAGCAGCAGGCTCCCCGCTGAGCAAGAAGCCCTATGCGGGACTTGATCCCAGGACCCCGGGATCATGACCTGAGCTGAAGGCAGATGCCCAAATGACTGAGCCATCCGGGCATCCCCAGTGAGGCTATTTCATAATGGAACAGGTTGCTTGGCAAGACAGTGAGCTTCCTGTCACTGAAAGCATTCAAGCAGAGAATGAATTTATGTGTTGATGATGTCATGGATGCAATTCCTATATTAAATGGGAGGATGGACTGGAAGAACACTAAGGTTTTATTCGAACTTATGAGTTCCATGAAATGGGACCATAGGTGATGTATCAGGATCAAATAAGTTTTTCAACAAGGGAAAAAAACCTCGCCTTGCTTAAAAACAGAGAGCAAAGAGGCAGTGAAGAGAGAGACATTGGGATTGTTAGTGAAAGAGAGATTATACATCATTTAGTAGTTATATTACCTTTGCAATTTTTCCCATTTCATAGATGTCTGCTTTCTGATCTTCAATATCCATGAAAGCAGTTTCAATTTTGCTTAGAGTCTGTTCATAGTTACTGCAGGCATCGGGGAGTCCTTCAGGAAAATAGAACTGTGGAATGTTTACAGACAATGGTGCATTCACAAGATTATTCACATGAGGAACTGGAGAGAGAGGTCGGGGACTACTTGGAAAGGTGGCTGTAGGTGGAAGAGGTGTCCCAGGTTTCTTTTCTGGTTTATTTTGAATCTGGAAGGAAAATGTGATTATGAGACACAAACATTCTAAACAGTATATATTTCCTGAAAGTCCTCACCAGTAATAAGTAGTAAGAATAGAGACAGTAGAGATCAAGAGCTCATTCAACTCTACAAGGTGATAAGTTTGCTTCTAGGGAATGCCTACCCATAAAAAATAAATACATTATCTGTCAATACAGAGTTTATGCAGACTTATGCTTTAAAAATCCTATAGTACATCTTTCCATCAATTATGAGCCAGACATTTAAGAGCAATGTTAGCTGACATATTAAGGATCTTCGAGTGTATTCTTAATCTGTTGGAATTGGATTAGTAAATTCTTTTTGAAGACTGTTCTTCATCTTTCTGCACATTTCTACCTCTACTTCAACAGGCACATATAGAATAAGTTCTTTTAAAATGCATAAATCTAAAATATATTGGGGGGTGTTCTTTCACCTTCTTCTCTCTAGTTTGACTTTGTCTAGGTAAAATCACTGTCAGTACCTGATGCAGAGAAAGTCTTTGTTAGGAAAATTAAAGCATTTTACTTTTGGTAAGTCTTCTACCAGGTTGATTTACTTGCCCCTGGGGGGATGCCATTTTTTTCTATAATACACTTTTCTCTCATTTTTGGTACACTGCAGTAACAGGCAAGGATCGTGCTTATTAATTTCATCACAGCCAAACTCCCTTCAGAGTTTAACTCATTTATAGTTTATATCATTCCTTTTTCCAAAAAGGATTGGATGTGGTATGCCATAAAGAGACAGAAGAAAGGACGGTATATGGGGGGGGGCGGGCAATGAGGAGATTAAGATTATCCATGATTCAGGGAAAGGGGATGGGAGATACACTAACATTAAGATAGAAGTCTACTTTACCAATGAAGACTAAATTTAGTTCTGAGATTCCTAGCAGAAAAAGCAAAAAGGATTCCATGAAGATTTTCATAGTTTTAATTTCTTTTCTTAATTTTGATCAAATTATCTATCAAGGCTCATGAGCATGGCACTGTGTTAGATACTACATAAAGTATGAAAGAGGGACAGGACTGTTGATCACTATGAATACAAAATATTACTCAAATGTTCATTTCCTTAAATTATCCTAATACCATTCCTAAAGTTTGAACAGTGATTTATCTCTAAGTAGTAGATCTGAATATCATATTTCTGATATCTAATAGTAGATCTGAAATAGTAGATCTGATTATCATTTTGACATATGGGCTCATAATATATCTTTAAACTCAGGATGAAAATCTTGGCTACCCTTGAAAAGCATGAGTATTACAGGAAGATAAGCTTCATTCACATAAATATGTGATGAATAGGATTTAATCTTCTTTTGTCACACATGGCCCATTTCTCAGGTTAATATCTGACACTAATACATAGAGTCTGCTCATATATTAATACTACTGGGGATATAAAGTCCAGTTGGTCATACCAAGATTTTGGGGCACTATCAAGATGTCACCCCTGTAAAGTAATAGTCAAGGAAAACATGGCACAGAGAGAAGTGAGGCTAATGAAGTATGAAAAACTTAAAACAGTGATGGCTTACTAGTTCTGTGACCTCAGGAAAGTTACTTAACCTTTTAGAATTCAGTAATAAAACAGATTATAACTCCTACTTCTTGGAATGTTGTTGTAAAGATTAAAGGAAATTACAGGACGTAACTAATGTAGGTAAAATGTTCAGAACAGTGCTAGGCACAGATATGTCCTTATTTAAGAAAATGAGCCACAAGGCCAAAGGATGAGGTTCTCAAAAAGGTTAAACGTAATTTGGCGTGGTCCTTTTCAACAAGAAATAAAATAATCATTTATATTTGTAAAACAATTTAAAGTTTACAAATCACTTTTGATTTAACAAATTGATAATCTGTATGTAAAGATTTCTTTGTTTTAATGCTAAGCTATAAATATTATTACAGAGTCCCATGAGTCAATAACAGTAGAAATTGTTCCGAAACTTCTACAAGAAGGCATCTAATTCTTAAGGGGCTTTATGTTTATATATAAATAGGCCATTTATATTAGTGTCATCCCCTTTCTATTATTCTATGCTGAAACAGGTCTGTGAGACTACAAGTATACAATCATAAAAATTCTTTTTTTGTTTCCACCATGGAAAACATTTTGGTGTGAGATCCAGGCAGTTATACCCAAAGGATTAAGACCACTGGTGCCAGTGGGGATGAAACCCAATAGTCTAGTGAACACACACTAGTGGAAAAGGTTTAGAGCAAGGCCTTCTATGTTGACTCTACACTTTTGCTTTGACAGAAATAAGTAACAATTGAGAACAAACCCTGGTTATCTGTCAAAGTTTTTATTTAAATGGGCATTCAATTATATAATCTACTTTGCTTTCCTTAGTGTACTTCTTAACATTAAGCAATTCACTGATAGGCAAGTATTTATCAATTCATTGGTTAATCCCATATTTAACAAAATTGATGTTAATATTTAAAAGGGAAAAAAAAGAATGCATTTATTTTGCACTTTTACGTGTTATCAATTTACTTTCCACTGAATTCAATAGAAGACACATAATTTAGTTTAATAAAACTGGCCCTTTATAAATGCTATAGAATAACAGTTATATAAAATTTGGCAGATTTACCAGCAAGTTCAGCATCTGCTCATTTTGAATAAAACTGTTTCATTCAAATTTAGAAACAGCATTAAAATAGAACTAGCTGGGGAAAGTGTTTCAATTCTCCATTTCAGTTTTAGTCTATAAACAAACATAGTATCATTTAGTATCCTTATACTATTATGTCACTGTAGCATTTCCAATATTTGACCATTTTTTACCTGTTTTTAAAAATAAGTAATTTCATATGGTTCACTCAATCTGAAATTACTCCGGGTCAGAAAAGAAACTACAGTTTCTTGCTGGATCTGGGTGGCCATCATTTGTATGACCCTTGATTTGTATTGTATTCAAGGTGATGCAAATTGTTTGGTAAAACACTGGCCCTACATTGTAAGCAAGTAAGCATGGATTCTGCAAAGTTGTCATCACAGGCAGAAATGACTCAATATCACAGCTTGCTGAGGGAGGACATTCTTTCATAACCCAGAAATTGTCATCCTTTGTTACCTACATACATTATATCACAGCCACACAACTGTCTATATATGGAATTAGCTCTTCCTGCAAAAAAAGATTACCAGGACTGATACTTTAAAAACAACTCATTACAGATGTATGTATGTTAATACAAACATAGTCTATTGATTCAAAGTGCAAAGACAGCTTTTAGCACAGAAATTCTAGTTTCTCAAAGATACTTCTATTTAAAATTTGTAAACTGTACGGTATTTGTTGAGGTGTATTTGTTGTCTCTAAAACTGGATTCCCTCTCTACAAGAGAAAAATGTGAGTACTGTACTTCAGGTCCAGAAGGTCTATTTTTAAACCTGTTGGAATCTCTCTACAAATAGCTTTCTGCAAATAGCTGAATAGAGGACACAGATTAATTCCTTGATCTAATATCAAGTGAGCTGTAAAACTATTTGTAAGTTAGTTCACTGGGTGGTTTTATTAGTAATAAAAATATTTTAAAAGAAACACCCAAGTTCCAAACCTGTGTTTGCTGAAATGACTTCAGCCGCTTCTTAAACCGTGACGGGAGAACAAAATCACAGCCCCTTGCCAGGAAAGCTAACTCTCCCCTTAAATCCGGGTCCCTTCGTAGAGATGTTTCCTTGATCATCATCTTTGAAAAGTGGATGTTTACTTAGCCACTGTCCAGTACACTTCTGAAGATGGTCAGATTTAAAAAGCTGTCAATCTTGTCAGGTAGAGAGGTATTTTCTTCTTATCTCCAAAAGAAATTAAGTTCAGGCATTGTGCTTTCCCAGTCTCCAGGGACCACAATCCATGCTTGTACTGACATGCAACTGGTTCCCAAATATAGCCAGTGGCTCCCAATATCTGCTCATAATTTTCAAGTTAGAAACACGCCTGCAATGGGCCTGTTGCTCCCTGTAGAGAGCGTTATGTCAAATTGACCTACACATGTTGAGAATACAGAGCCTTCTGGGAAAGGAAGCACCCACTACTCTAGCACCAAAGTTAGAAACATTACAGCTGGACCTAAAAATAGCAACTTCTCAGATAATGCTAACTTCTTAAACTCAGAGTATGTGAGGTGTCAATCCACATAAATCAGTTTCTCCTCAATTAGAAAAAGAACATGTAGAGCATTTTTGGTTTTGCCATTTAGTATTTTATGAAAAAAGAACAAGCTACACTTCAAATTTGAATCTATCATTTTAAGAAAAGGTTTTTTTTTTTTTATTTCTTATTTGAAGGGAAGCAAATATACAAAACCCTCTAGATATATCCAGGTAAAATACGGAGAAAAACTTTCATCCTCAAATGTAATATAGAAAGAGGTCTGTTCATCTTATATTTTAAAATCAAATCCTTTTTTTTGGCTTGTGTGCAGAAGACTATCTTAGTTATCCAACATACTTCGTTGAAGTGATTCTGGATCTAGACACATTTGAAAATTTATTGTCAAAGTGTGGGTTAAGAAAGTAGAACAACTGGGGGCACCTGGATGGTTCAGTTAGTTGGGTGTTGGACTCTTGATTTCAGCTCCGGTCATGATCTCGGGCTCATGAGGTCGAGGGCTCTTTTCTCAGTGCAGTCTGCTTAAGATTCTCTCTCCCCCTCTCTTTCTGCCTCTCCCCCCACTCGCATACTCTCTGTCTCTCTCTCTCTCTCAAAATAAATAAATAAAATCTTAAAAAAAAAGAAAATGGAACAACTGAATGCCATAAGAAAGCAGCTTTTATATACATGTAAGTGAAATTTGGCGACAGTAAAGGTACAAAAGATGAGCAAATAGCAATGACATAATGTCTTCAATTTGTGAGACTTTCTTCTTCAAGGAGCTTTAAAGAAATCATCTCAGATTTAAAAAATACTCTATTGTTTTATTATATACTAAACATCTGCCTCATGTAGTCATTTACAAAAAC